TTTAGGAGTGAGAAAGGGAAGACATGCAGCAAATGGTCCAAGACAGGCCATTTGGCCATAATGATGGGAATAAAAATTCTCTAAAAAAATGTTATTCTCATTGTCCAGCCATTTATTGCTGTAGAAATAATTTTCATAATCCCAAAGGATTTAAAACAGACAAGGTATAGCCAGTTTTAATGCCAGACAATGAGAAAAAAGGGTTTTCGTAGTGTATGCAAACATCTGGTTTTAACTGTATGTCAGTGGCTTTTGTCTGCTTGTGATCTCAGGTTCATTTTTCACGAATTTAAAGAAATGTAAACAACCAACCTGAATCCAAAACAACTCCATTAAAAAAACTATTTTTATTGCCACACTAATAATATTGGGGTGACCCAGCCAGGTTGCAATGCATTGTATAAAGTATATTCTAAAGACAGAAACATGAACTCTGCGGTCGTACCGGGATGATGCGTTCCCTGCAGGGCGTTGGGATTCTCGTGGAGACGCTCCATTATGGTCTTCCAGTTGCGACTGACGCCCGCGAACTCGGTGCACTCGTTAGGAAGCTGCTCCCTGATGTCCTTTCCTTGGAAAATGTTCTGAGTGGGGGGAAAAAAAAGAAGAAAACAATTGGTTGGAACCGAGAAAGAGAACAGCGCTTGTTTCGGATTAAAGACTTGTGTGTGAAATGTAGCTTTCTGGTGCTGGTATGTAAAACCCATAAACAATGAATGAGGCAAGGTAAGTTGTGTACTTCCAAGTAAATCCAGTTTCGCTGCACGGAGAGGATCATGTCGATGACGTCCATCACGTGGGTGAGCTGGCGTTCCCATTGGTCCACCTCTCGCTCGAAGGCTTTAACAAAGCGGGATGCCTTCATCGTGGACAAAATGACCTGGTTATCGTCCAGCGTCTGGAAGACGTCTTCACTCCCTCTGAAGAGGACGAGAGAACACGAATGGTGACGATTAAGTTGACGCATCAATCCTGGAAGGCCAACCGCCGTGAAAGGCCATCGTATGCTCACGTTACAATGAATACTTTTGATTCCTGGGCGTGTTTGAAAACAAAAGGGCTTGCTCTGCAATTTATTGTTTCCCTGCTGTCAGTGTGGAATCGGTTTAGGTTTTTTTTTGTACTTGAGGTTAAGGTTAAAACAAACCTGTTAAAGGCCGATTCATTGTTATTCTGTATAAAACACCGTCACCGCATTGCATCTCAAAGCTTTGTAAATCGGCTGACGGCGCTGTCGTTTTAAAACTAGGTTGGAAAGGATCAAAATGATGGCTGCGCATCGATGAGTGCGTTTGATGAAGAGATTCTTTTTTTAGACAGAAAATTTTTAATCTGCCACCTGCAGGCTCTACGCAGCGGCATCAACTATTGAGCCACGTTAAATGTGACAATATTTGTAACCTTTTGAAACTGTTCCTCTGCTTGACATTAAAACCCGCCTCACCTCAGCCGGTAGTGGCCCTCCTCTTTGTACGGCGCGATTTCCAGGTATACGTCATCCCATGTCTTCTTGACATTGATCAGACCCTGAAAGAACAAACGCAAACAGACCAGAAATAAAGTTGCAATAGAATAATTTTCTAATATTTATGCCTGGAGAATGTCTTAGAAATACTACTAGACCGTAATGGTGAATTAACATATAACATTTTTTTTTAGGGTTTTGTAGTTTAAAAGCATCGAACGACTGCCCCTTTCAGGCTCTTCCTCACTCAGAGCTCCTTGAATCGAATCCCAGTTTCTGAATGAACAATTACTGGCTGATTTCACAAATGAGGTGCTAATTGCATGGCAACTGTATATGCTAATTGCTCCACACTTCAATGTGCACAAACTTGGCTGTAACGCTGCTCTGATGTAACCTCGGAGGGTTCAGAGTGAGGCAGGGAGACGGGGGGGAGGGGGCCGCTGGCAGGACTAAGACGGCAAAGTTTGAGCTGCCAGAGTTGAAGCCGGAGTGGAGGAGAGTCGCTCTGCTGCATTTTCAGAATCTTCCCTAACATTATCCCAGAGCAAAGTAAGATGAAGAATCAACAAGACGTCAGATCCGGACCTGTTCTATGGAGAGCTCCTTGCTGGCAGCTCCAGAGATCTCCGAAATGACCGAAGCGTAATGATCCAGGTTCAGAGAGATGATCTTCTCCAGGGTGAAGTCAGGGTTGGTGTGGTCAAATGTGCGCTCTAGATCCTCACAGATCTGGTTCCAGTGTCTGAAACAACAAACAAAACAAGGTTCAAATTCTACCTAAAGGGCCAAAAATATATATATCTGTTTACTTACATGTATTTACTTTATATTTACAATTTAGTGCTTTACGAGAGAGAAAAAAAGAATTCTGACTTTTTTCTCAGAATTCAGGCTTTTCCGAAAAGTGAAAATAAAGTCGTAACCTTAACAGAATAACGATGTGATATTACCAGAAAGAAGACGCAAAATTACAAAAAAACCTTCAATCGAGTTACAAATATCTGACGGGACCAGACTGACAAATCCGTTTGGTTCTTACTTCAAACACACACAGTCGTTTGCACAATCATTTCAAAGTCCTGATACTGATAGTAATTTGATGCTGATGTATTAAAGTATTTATTTGTGAAACTGAGAATACCTTCACAAGTTGCTCGACATTTATTTTATTTTTAAACTAGTTTACTTCTTCATTCTCCTAATATTATGACTTCATTCTCGTTTTATTTCAACTTTAACATCATAGGACTTTATTTCCGTAATAAAAAAAAGTAAGTCTTAGTAATACTCGTAATACTCGAATTCTGACATTTTTAAATTAAATGTCAGAATGTTCATTCTGACATTTAATCGCCTGAACTGACTTTAAAAAAGGAAGAATTCTGTCTTTAAGTTCAGAATTTTGTCAAAAAGTCAAATTAAGTCAAAAGTCAGAATTTTGACTTAATTTTTCAGAATTCGGATTCAAGTCAAAATTCCAAATTTTGTCCCTCATCGTCTTCTGTACTGTTTTTATGCTGCTACTGTTAGTTACATTATTCTCTCTCAGTATCCTCAGTACAACCATGTTTTAAAGGTTCAGACTTAGGACTTCTTATGTCAGGAAGAATATGTTTACATAGCAATATAAGGATATAATTGTATGACAATTGGTTGATTTTAGTTGGTTGATAAAGATAACAGGGTTCACGTTCAAGACCCAGCAAACTGGATCAGTTACATCCTAAGGACTCCTACAAACCTTTTTAGGGTTATTAGTATGTTAAAATACAAATCCGCTAGGAGTTTACTGTAGGAATTATGCACATAATTGTGAGAGCATTTTTTTCCGATTGAGGACAGATGCTACAACGGTCTGCACGGCCCCTAGAGAAATAAGAAATAAGCCTCAATACTGACAAAGAGTCAGAAGAGTTAGTTGACGAGCTCGTCTGAAAGGCACCAGACCATAACAAACACGTGTAACGAAGACACAACACTCGTTCGGACATGCTGTAGTTTTGGACTGCAAGCGTAGCGAGATCGTTTTAACCGTTACCTGTCTCTCAGAGCTGGATTCCTCAGATCAGTAATGAGGGGGATGATGTGCTTGAACTTTTCAAGCTTCACCCTGGAGGAAGAAACTATCTCCCAATCTTTACCCTGCAGTAAAAACACACAAAAGACGATGTTGTTGTCTAGCGCAGCTGGGATTGCAGTCAATGGGATTAACTACTTTAAGGCAGATGCCCAGTTTGTGGTATGAGATTCATTGCAATGTAAATTGGCTCTTTCGGACATGCTGTAGCTTTGGCGTTTGTTGACCTGCTATGAACAGCACATGACTAAATAATAACCCCATGAAACTGAATTATTTTCTACATCAGGAAGTAAAACATTCCCAAATCTCTGGAAAGGAAACCAGAAAGAAATGTGTCTAAAAACCTTGGAACAATTGCCAAGAGACTCCAACGTGTGATTGGAGAAAGGGAGGGGGAGTTTATGACCCAAATAATACCGTCCTTATTGTGAAGCACGGTAGAGGAAGTACTACGCTGTGCAGAGGCTTCACTGTGTCTGTAACTGGGAAAGCATTGGATTATACCGGTAATCTTTTTTTTTTTTTTTTTTTCAAAAATGAAACCTAAAAAGACAAAAGTGATCTATATAATGCCTGAGCTGATCATCCTGCCCAGCACAACTAACCTTGAGATCTCTCTGAAGGGCGCGAAGTCTCTTGTACATCTCCAGTGCCGTTTCCTCCATGGTCCGCGTCTGCAGCTGTGACAGGTGAAGAACCTTCCAGTTTTCCCAGCTTTCGTCCCATTCGTGAGAGATTTCCCACACCTCCTGGAGCTGATCCATGTCCTGGAAAGGGGCACGGAGGCACAAAGTCGTCAGACACACGTGACGCGTAAAAAAAACAACAACAACAAAAAAAAAAACATTAAACAACTTCAGGAACAACTAAGGAAAATTATAGATCCGTTAAATTTTTTTTTTTTACAATGACCATTTGTATTACTGAATGCTGATGTAACTGTTAGAGCCAAGAGCAACTTCAGACCTTTTCCATCGCCATGATGAATTTACAGGGAGGTTGATCGATTCTGAAGAATGCCAGCCCACTGATGATGGTGTTTTGCTCTTGTATTAGAGCCTCCAGTTGGCCACGATATTCTGCTATTTGCTTCATTGCTACTTCAAAGCTTAACAAGCTCTGAAAAGGACCTGGACAAGCAAATGTAGCGTTAAGCATATTAAGATTTACACAAACACGCACATAGACACTTACTTATGATAACTATAACTATAACTAAAAGCATATACACAAATGTGTGCAAGGTTTACTGAATTGACTATGTTTTGTCTAGTGAATGTAACTAGCTTCCAAACAATTAGGGCCGATGTGGAATTAGACCAGTTGATGGTAAAACATGTATGTGTAACCTTTGGCGCTGAACTCCTGAAAGGTAACGTCGATCTTCTTCTTGAGTTCCTCAAAGGAACGGACGAGGCCGGTTTTAAACTTTTCTTTGTCTTTCGACAGGGTGGTGTCGCTGTTAATCAACACCTGCTGAAACCAAATCCACTTGTCATTCAGTTCCTCTCGCATGACCTGAACCTGCAGGCGCAAATAAGACACAACGGATTAAAGCCAGGATTCGTTTCTTCAGAATCACATCACTGATAGGAGAACCGAACACTGAAATAGATTTAATACATCATGTAAAGAATTAGGGTGAGCATTCAGCTATTTCTATAGAACTGGTAATATTTTGATGTCTAATCTTTATACTAATATCTTGAAGAGAATGGAAACCAGAAGCTGTGCTAAACCAGAAGCTGTGCTAAAACGGAAGCTATGCTAAGCTGAAGTATCGCTAGCAACTTAACCATAGCTTCCACTGTTGCATAAATTCTGTTTCAGCATAGCTTCCTTTGTACTTGTGGTTGTTGTGGCTTTAGGTGGTGTGTTGGGGCTACCACATTTTGTTGACCTTTCTGGGCAACCATATGAAAAGGCTTTTTCAGAAGCTACTAAGATACCAAAAAGCTTTCTAACCTAATTTCTGCCCAGCTACCACTGTTTAGCTAGATTGTAACATAGGGAAAATGTTAGAAACGTTAGCATGATCTCTCAGCAAATTTTAACTGATATACTATGAGAATAAAACCTAAAAGTTAATATTAAACAACTAATTATCTATTTACACTGGTGTGACACATCAGCAAGAGGTAGGAGGATCAGTACCCAAGAAAAAACAAGGAATGTTTTAGGTAATGTAACATACTTGGCAAAGATGTGTGACAATACAATACTGTAACTTCTTCTGTGGTAATAAAGCTTCTAGCTGTTATTTCTTAAAAATATATACATATATATTAACCATTTTAAGCAGTGTTAACTTTTGCCTATTGAAAATGTACTCCTGTACCTTGAATACATTTCTAGGCATTGTTAAGAAGTGGCATACTTACGCTGTGCTCCACTTCGACTTCATATTTGTCGAGGATGGCAAATCGTTCATGGATGAGAGGAATCTGAGCTTCTGTGTTGGCCAAATTGCTATTGAGATTTGCTAGAAGAGTCAGGCTATCACTTAGCTCCTCAAGGGTCTGCGGCGGTTTCATCAACCTGAACATAAACAACGACGATTATTAAACTCAAGGATTTCCCCCATATTCTTCCAGAATTTCATTTATTCACTGGACTCCTTTATGTCAGAGAACTGGTCCTAGCTGTGCACTTTTATCATATAAATAAGATTTGATGTATGATAAGAAATGGTTGCACACCTATCAGCATTGCTTTGCATTGAGTCGTAAAGTTCTTTTAGACAAGTGCTTGCTATCTCGCTGAGAAGCTGTGTTAACTTCTTCTGCCACTCGTCGCAGTGTTGCACCAGGGTGGACTTGAGCGGCGAACAGTCCAGCATCACAAACTGTATGGAGATGATCGTCTCTTCCTGTTGAATACTGCTGGCGTTCTCAGTGTATCTGGGAGGACCACAGGAACACTGTTTGTGATCCTAGTCAACCATGTCTTTGCAAAACACACTGAATATATTTGCAGAAACTCCTCCAACAGAAACAGAGGAATCGCATACCTTTGTATATCTGCATCAAAAGTCGATACTGAAGTGTTGGCTGTCCTGTAACGTTGTATAATGTAGTCTTTGATGTTCTCCCAGATGGGCCTGTATTTGCCCCAGCTCTTCAAATAGGCCTCCAGTTGCCTGGCATTGGCTGACATCCCTGCCATAATTGCAGCCTGGGTCTTAATAATCCTTTCGTCTCGCTCTGAGTGATCAAACAGAATCGAAATGGGGAGGATGATAAAAATCATTGAGCTTCTTATGAAAATATTTAAATCCTTTTAACTTTTCCATATTTTGTCATGCTACAACCATAAGGGAGGCCAATGCATTTTATTTAGGGGTGCATAAGGAGAGGGGTAAGCATACAAAAAATGTACGCCACACTTTTGAGATATTTATATGACTTCACAATCGTGCGCTCATTTATGTTGCTACATCCAATAAAGTCAAGAATAATGAAGCGTTAACGTGACAAAATATGAAAAAGCACTAAAGCAGGTGTACGCTATGATATATATTTGTTTCCAACCTATGCTGACGTATATGGGGAGAGCCAGAGACTCTTTGTCGGAGAGAAGCTCGGGGAGACGCTTAAATTCAGAGATGATTTTGATTAACTGAGGCAAAATGTTCACAATCTGTCCAAGCTTCTGCAGAGACGGCGAGAACTCCAGCTGTAAACAACAACAACAACACAAAAAACGAACTGGATTACACAGGAAGGAGATTATTTAAAATACAAATTAAGCATTACAAAACCTCTTTTCTATTTACATTTAAATTTAGGATCACCTTAGACCTCACACATTGCCCAGAACTGCTAGCTTCAGGAGAGATCTACCCAAGTGCCTGAATTTCTGTTTGTTCTTTTCTTATCGATTTAAAGGTCAATATTATGTGTTTAACAACCACAGAGTGCCATTTTACAGCACAATCAAGCAACCTTCAGTTGTAATAAAAATACTGTACACATCAAATATTACTTAAAGAAAATTGGACTTTATAATTTAGCTCCTTGAAATTGGGTCTCTGTCTCTTTAAGAAACTCTTGCTCTCTCTGAAACGTTTTGCACAGCAGAAAGGTTGCCAGATTAAAAGAATTTTCAAACATGCATTTTGGATGAAGGAATAACACTCTAACTTCACATAATACGGTCCCTTTAAAAAAAATTTGATTTTTCTTATAACATTCATTGTGGATGTTGGCCTATTTGAAGAGAAATCTCTAGCTTACAGCATCACAGTAGTTTTAAGAGGCGGCGTGAGTCTGCGTTACCTTTGGCACGCTTTGAGGAGTCGCCTGCCGCAGAAGCACCAGCACTTTGAACAGCGGACTGGGCGATGTCTTGTTATCCCCGGTGATGGCTCTGCTTAGTTTCTTCATGGAGTCCCTGATGTTAAGCCGGAATGCCTCTTCCACTATGTGGTCCACCTTCTCTGAATACTTCTCCCAATGTGCCTGGACCTACAACATCGGAGCTCAAGTTTTTTGTTTTTACAAAGTACACATTTGTGGACAGCAAATTATCTTCTGTGAGGAAAAGGAGAATTTATCTTTGACACATTTATTTAGATCTATTTATACAGAGCCTTGCAAAGGTATTTATACCACTTGTTGGCTAGCCCTTTACTCAAAGAGATCCTGTATCAACTCTGGATGAGCTGCAGAGAGCCACTGCTGAGATGGAAGAATCTGTTGACAGGCCAGGTGCTAACTATGCATGGCACAGATATTAGATTAGATATTATGAGTTATTTGAAGAATTGCAAAAAGAAGACCATTGTTGGAAGAACGTCGAGTATCTGTAACATGCTACAACAAAGAAAACATAGCATATCTGGCTTGAGTTAATGATGGACGGAAAAAAAATCTGTTAGAAGCCGCAAAAGACTTAAAGCTGGGGTGGAAGTTCAATTTTCAGTACAACAAGGACCCAAAACATACAGCAAAGGTTTAGATTTAAGCATATTAATCAGATGAAGTGGTCCAGTCAAAGTGCAGATCTAAATGCATTTAAGAATTTGTGCCAAGGCTTGAAAAAAATTACGCTCATACATGGTTTCTACAAAATCCGACTGTGTGAAGAAACATGGACATGAATTTGTCTCAAGAATCTAACTGATATAAATCAGTGAACACTTGTCTCTGAAACTGCAGAAAAAGATGTCATAGACAGTACTGACTTAGGAGAGGGGGAAAAAGGTGCAGTTTGTCCTTTCACATTACAATTCTGAACTATTTTGTAAAATCTGAATAAAATGCAATAAGGTTTGAGGCCGTAATGTGACAAAAAGTGCAAAAAGTTCAAGGATGTAAATACTTTTGAAAGGCAGTCTAGATCTGGGCCAATTCTCTTTCCTTTGGATAGCACTTTTTTTTTTTTACATATTTGTTAAATAATATTTTTTTAAAAAAGCACACTTAATACTTCAGAAAGTGATTTTGAAGCACATAAAAGCACAAAAAACAAAGTTCCAACCTCAGCTCCATCGCCGGCAAAGATGGTGTGAATCTGAGTCATGATGTTAACGATTTCCTGGTGTACCGAGCGCAGCACTTTGAGACGGCTCTGCTGGTGAGCGTTCTGGTCATCCTCAAATTCCAGGTTTCTGGCCAACAGCAGGGGGCGGGAGGGGAGAATGACAGAACCAGTCAGCTGATTCGTTGCTTAAAGACTTTGTGTTTGGTTGGTGTGCCATCATAGTGACACAACAAAGAAAGAAATCAGAACTTATTACCTGTACACTGTCTTCCCATCTATTTTAACCAGCAAAGTTTCACTGATCTGCCTACAGAGGTTGGAGATGGACAGATTGGAAACTTTGTAACCATCAATGACAGACTGCACCTGGAGAGGTAACGGAAAGAGAGAAAAGAAGGAGGCGTCCGCTTTATTAAAGAAATCAAAGCAGGTTGTAATCCCAAGAGCAGAAAAAAAGGAAGGCTGTGAATATTAGTTTCTTTGGTAGACAATTTCCATTGTGTGTTGAGGTACATTAAGGTACGTTCAGTGTTAGAACTGTTGAAACAGGCAGTTTAAAGTGTGTCTCTAGTATTGGTGGATTGTAGCAATTTGCCAGCAGTCGCGGTGCCTATCCTCCATGAATATCGAGGCTCCACTGTATTCAAACGCTACAGAGAGAGCATTAGCAGGTTCGTGTCAAACCTTGTCAATGTGGATAAGGGAATCGTTGATGAAGTGGTTCGAAGCTCCTTGGGACAACCAGAGCAACTTGGTCATGCCAGGCTCCACCTTCTTGTCAAGGAAACGGACCCGCTCCCGGAACAGACGCAGCTCTTCACGAGAGAGCATTCCAACAATCCTGACAACAAAAAACAACACTGCAGAAATTACAACAAAAAAAAGTTGAATGGTTTATAGGTAACTTGAAGGTGGGTGTACTGTGATCTACAGTTGAAGGAAGTGTAGATGAGACCTGTTGTAGTTCCTGATGAGCAGCAGCACTCTCTCCCGGAGGAGCCGGATCTCCTCCCTGCTCTGGTACATGTCGGACACAATCTGTGGGATCTCAAACTTCATTCGGTCCCAGTACTGGATCTCAGAAAACAGCCTCAGCAGGTTGCTGGATCAAACAGCGTTTGACATAAACAAAGTATTTTCATTAGTTATGGGGAGACAAATCTTCATGAAACCACTGATTGTGGTTCTGATCCGTGTTTTGCCAGCTCAATGTTATAAAACAGACTAATTATGGGTTTATCCAGAGAGGACATTTAAATATTCAAAAGAAAATGCAGCTGGGTAAGCTGAAATACCTAGCCTCCATGCTACCTGACACACTATTGGCTGGCAATTGCAAAGCAGCCAATTAAGATATATTTCAGTACTACGATCGCTCTAACTGGTCTGGAACTTTCAGTTGGTCTGTTGAAAAAAGTTTAAATGTTCAATTCCATTTTTTTATTTTTTTTATTTTGCCGAAATCCTATATTCTTCTTTTAAAATGGTGGTTTATACTACTAATTACAGATCACCACAATCAGGTTTCCATGTGAAAGGTTTGCAACCCGAAAACAACCCGCATTTTGGAGCTGGGGTCGGGCGGTTGAAAAACAGAAAATGGGCCGTTCAGACTGTCATAAAATACCGGATGAGGATCGCATGCGGGCGAGAAAATCAATTTGGAGTCTCATTTGCCTGCTGTGTGAACGGAGCCTAAGGTTGAGCTTCTCGACATTAAACTCAACTAATCAAACAGGTGGTTTTAGTAAAGATATGGTAGAAAGCACCTCATTCCTACTGAGAAAACGCTCCATTCTAATCTTTAAGTCATTTAATGATACCCATAAACTTTGAGTTAGTTGGTTTCTATGGTATTTGACACGTAAAGTATTACATTTCCAGATTGTTTTTTTTTTTAATTACAATGAATTTTATATTTTTGTGAAAATGGTAAGTTTTTCAGTGTTTGTGTCTAACATTGATGCTCTTGGATGAATTTCATTTTTCAAGCCAAACTGCCTATAACCAAAGACACTCAAACAAACCCAGAGGCACAAACTCAATCCACGACTTCTTCTTTCTGTTTTTCTGATTTTGACCTACTTGTCGAAATTGATTTCCAGCCTGGAGGGAGTGCCCTTGAGGCGCACCAAGAGAGTCTGCTGCAGTTTCTTCAGGTACTGTCCATCCAAGTTCTGGGTCCATTCAAAGAAGCTTTTCCTCACCATCTCCTCCAGGATGTGGTTCGTCTGCCCAAAGGTAAAAATGATGTCCTTGCGGCTCTGAGATTCCGGCATAAAGGAGCACTTGTGAAGGATCTGGAAGAGATCACGAGTAACGGTAAGAAATCAGTTTTTACTCAATTTCGGAGCAAAAGAGAGACGGATACATATACCTGCATGGGTTTTTCTAGGCGCTGCTTGAGAGCTTTGGCCCACATGACCTGCCCCACAATTTGTGGTATGTGATCAGGATAACAGCGACCCTTCTGCTCCGCTGTCTCCTTCACCACGTGAAGCTCTTTGCTAAAGATGCGGTACACTTCCTCTGACTTCTCCTCCATTGTGCGCCGTATGGCCTGTGACAGCGCAGATCAACATGAGAAGAGAACGTCAGAGAGAACAAACTGGAAAGGCTAAGGATGGGAATTTAAAAGGTTTTCTGTGGGGTAAAAGTGAAGATGTCGTGAAATGCGAGTGTTCGTCAAAACACCTTGCGCGTGGACATAGGACTGAAAATGTCCAGCAGCCTAACTCCTTCCTGAACTGTGTTCACGGTCCGGAAAGCTGAGTTCATCAACTCCTGGGTCATCATTTCCAGATCCTTTACAAATGTACAAAACCTAATAAAACAGCAAACCATCACATAAAGGTAGACATGAACAACAACACCCAAGTCAACCTGTAGCAGAGTGGTGCAGAACATCCACTCCAACCATTTTTACTTCTGAGCTGAGCTGTTTTGGTTCTTTGCTATCCCGAAGCCCCAAAATTAAAATGTAAAAATGCTGCAGCAATCTAAAGGGAGAAATGATGTGTGGGGGCTGCTTGCGAAGTTAAACATTCAAAAATCAGAAATAATTTGAGTCACGAGAGGAAAGCAATGGTAGTTCTTTTTTTTTAATGTCATATTTTCACAGCTGGTTCACAGAGCTTAAGTGTGTTTTCACACCTGATAGTCTGATAGATTGAGGACCAAAGTTGCAACATTTGTTGCATTTTCAGCTGGTGCGGTTTGCTTTCACACTGCACTACCAAGTGAACCAAACCCTTTGAGCAACGTGTTCCCCTCCCCACACATGGTGGCGCTGCACCAAAAACCACTAAAGGAAACGACATGAAAACCTCTGAAGAAGACATGAGCACAACCTCCCTCTTCAGGACATGTAAACAAAACTGGAGTGGCGTCGGATTTTAGCAGTTGTAGGATTTCTCTTCCATGAGCCTTTTGTCCTACAAGTGCTACATTCATATTATGATTTAGGTTGTATTTACCCAGAATGCCATGTGGTTTAGTCTGCCTTTTGCTTTTGTAGTGGTATCCAGTCTGCTTGGAATTCACACATGCATTAAAGATGACTTTAACCATACTGAGATGTGGGTTTTTAGGCAGACCAGAGTTTGCTTTTTTTGGCCCACAAAAAATTGCACATTTGATTTGATTGCACATTCACATCTTCTCAAACAAACCGGACTTTCCAAACGAATGAATCACAGTTTGATTAAAGCAACTAAGCAGAGATGGTCTGAATGCACCCTAAATCTTTCATGGCTCATGTTTACCTTGAGATATATCTATATCCATATAGCATGAGCTAAGTGCCTTTTACTTTACTTTGCCATCATCACTTCACTGCATTTATGTATTATTGTCAATCACGTTTTCTATTATTTTCCTTTTACTTTCTTTAAAAGTAAAAGGTCAATTGTAGTAAATTTAGTTGCTATGGGTGATAAAATGAGCATTTTTCAGTTGTTTAGTGGAATATTTAAGCATATTCCATATATGCACACTAATGTAAACAAGCAACACAGATAAGTCACATGGAGCAGTAGTGGTATTTACAATCTCTCCTTGATGACTATGGATCTGACAGGAATGGGCTGAGAGTTATTATTGCCCTTCATTGTTTATTTCAATAAGACTGAATGAAGAGATTGTAAACTAATTAACTCGATAACAGCCATTAGCCGGAGCCATTAAGAGCCAGCACTGCTGTGTTTTCTTCCTGCTAATGCGGCTCCGTGTCTGACCCCTCCAACCTAATGTTCATGTCAAGGAAAATATGAAGGATTATTTACATTGGTAATTGGAGTTGTAATGTGTCAGTCTGCTAAATATAGATTTATGGAGCATTTTTTTTAACCTAAACCAGAGTCGACGCAGAAAGCAGAGGTGTTGCTGTGACAGATACTGATCGGCTCTTGTACGTTCACACTATTCTTTAATGATCTGACAAAAGTAACATTTTTGGCATATTTTCAACAAAACAAGCAAAAAATAAAATAAAATTGTTGATATTACCAAAAGCCAATTGCCTACAATACAATAAAAATGTGTTTTGGACAAACTTATGTTTCAACTAATCAAAACTTTATTGATGTGTTCATTCAATTTGTTGGTGTTTAACTGTATTAGTTTTTTTGTGAAAAAAAAAAAATTCTGGGAGAAGACCTTTAAACTTATACAATAAAAGAATAGTCTAAAATATTTGTCATCTAAAATCAGTTATCTAAATGTAGCTTCTGGAAGTTAAGTAATAATTAAATTACATAAAGATAAATGCCTGGTAGATTACCAGTATTTTGTTTTTACAGCACAATTAAGTAACTGTTACCATCGGTGGTTATAAAAAAATTTTTTTGCATCACTGTCTTGAAATGACCCTCTGTTTCTTTAACAGGTTTCTACCCTTTTCCACTCTTTGCCTTCAGCACGTCATCATCTCAGTGCTTCTCCATGATGCTGTTTACAACTGTTCTTAGGAGCTCAGCAGGCCCGCAGCTGTGCCAGGTGATTACTAACTGCTGCTGCCGCTAGTCTAGAGGAGCTGAATGTGGAGGTGAGGGAAGGAGTGCTCTGTGAGGCGGAAGTTCGGCTAGGTACTAGAGCTCCAAGGAGGGGCTTTGGGGAAAACAGCAGCGCTTTGTCTGAGCAGGTGTTAAGGTACCTGCCAATGGCTGCCAGAGAGACTCAAGGATTTCTCAAACATCCATGAAAGGATCAAAGCAAAACTTCAAGTATGTTTTTGATGCGGGAGAAACAATAAAGCATCATATAAAGCTCAATTTACATAACAATCTCCTCCACCTCCTTTAAATCTGATCTGTTCATGACATTTGAATTATGCATGACACTGTACTTCTGGAATAGTCCAAACCGATGGGGGTTCTTACTCTAACAGCTTGAAAAAATAAAAAGACTAAATGACTCATCAAGAAACAAAAACAAAGAAGTCTAGCTGTAACGTTCATCTCTAGCAACAGGTTTTGCTCTAAACTGAACGCAATAATGGAGGCATACCAACCTGCTGAACTCCTTACTCCACGTGGGATGATGGACATCAAGGATCCCCTTGCCAAAGGTCCGCAGGTTCTGCAGTCCTTGTTGGAAACTGGTCTCTATCTTCAGCAGGTTGCGGGTCAGCTCTGGTCCGGCGCTGCCTCTGAAGCAGGGCATGTCTCTCTGCTCGCCATCCTCCCAACGGGCAAACTGGTACTGGCAGTCACAGATCTGATGGATTATGGGAATACATACAAAAGCAATAAACAATAAGTACAATGCAAGAAAGGGTTGTCATGAATAAACCAATGCTGCAAATAACAACAACAGCACTGCTTAAAACCCTTCGTGTCCTATATTTAAAATCTCCACCTGGATATTTTTGCGTATTTTAATTGTACGCAGGTCTTTAAATGTCCTGAGTAAATATATATTTGCCCATTTTTCCATAACAACTGGAACTTTCAATATCTAGCAAATTATTTTCGCAATTTGCTATTAAAAGAGTGACCCTCAGATTAATTTCACTCCCTGCTACGGTGGGGGTGAAATTACAGGAATAACCTGAGATTGGCTGGAAAGCGCAACGTCTCCCCTTTCAGAAACCTTTGGAACTTTTCAGATAGCGTGCAAAGTGTGGCGGAATTACAGTAAAGCAACTCTGGTTGGATCGCCGGCACTGCGTTAAGGTTAAGGTTAAGGTTAACTTACAGGGTTAACCTTAGCTAGCTGCAGCTGTTTCACTGGAATATATTTTCTTGCTGCCGGTACACAGGGAGCAGTAATTCTCAATTTCTCCCAGAATTTAGTCAGATGGATTTCTGATTCTGGCTACAGTTGCTGTTTTCTGAGGTTACTTCAAATCATTCTGAAATGATGACTCAGCGAAACCAGCACAAAAAAAACCAAAACAAAACAAAACAATCAAACAAAGATAAACTGACCTCAAGGAGGTTTCTGAGCCTCAAAATGAAGGCATCAATCCCCACGAAAAACTTTGTTTTGTCCAGAACCCAGCCTTTGTGAGAATACCTGCCAGGAGAGAAGCAGAAGTAGACTGCTACACCACAGATAAACTGCAGATACTTTCAAATGCAAACTGTTCAACTTTAAAGACTCTTCTAAGAGTTTCCTGGTTAAGACAGGAAGCATGTACAGAAAGTGATGTGCATGTTCACTATCTGTACTTAACATGGGCAGAAATAAAAAGCAAAAATAAACAGAAAAGCCAGTTTCAAGTGTAAATAAATCCTAAATGCGTCCAACCTCTTAATTTTTCAATCATTTGTACTGCAGTCGTTTACAATATCCACATAACGAAATACTTCCAACCACATTGGCCTCTGAGAACGTTTCAGAAATTCAGCAGAGAGGCTACTTTTTGTCCTACTTGTGATGAAGCTTTGAGACATGCATGTAAGTGTCCTTCCAGGACGTGCAACACTGGATGCAGTCGTCGAGGATTCGCTTGCTGGACGACAACTGGCCCTCGAAGATATCGTCCAGAGAGATGTTTTCACTACACAGACGGATGATCTCGTTACTCATCTGAAAGTTTGCAGAACACAAACATTTGTCACCTTAAGTGTTCTTAGACAGGGTTGAGTTTTTATTCTTCTGATGAAAAAAACAAAACAAAACAAACAAAAAAAAACACCATAATTACATGATTTTTTTTTTACTTGTGCTGTTAATTACCTCCAATTATGGGACACTGTTGACTGAAAATAGAAAGCTGAAAAGAGTTTATGCTACATATAATTTACATTTAAACTGCATGTATAATGTTCACACCCACCCATAATGGTACGGAGTGTCAAAACGGACAAAATTAAACAGATAAATACATATTAAATGTACAATTAAATCAATAAATATAATTTATTTAGAAGACAATTTATTAAATATGCGACTAAGTCACTAAAAGTGAAAACTTATAAAAGTAGATACTGATAACTGATTGAACAATGATTTTATTTGATGCATTTTATTGATTGAATTTTGTCCCCTTTGGTCCTCCACACAGTGGGGCTCAGTTGGGTCAAAAAATATTTGTCCACATTCTAACACAGGGGTGTCAAACTCAATTTCACCGAGGGCCACTTCAGCATATTGGCCCCCTCAACGGGCCACATTGACGGTACAAATCAGGAGGGCATCCCTGCTAAAACACACCCCAGACAAAAGGTTGACTTC